ATTGATCTACTAGAATAGCAGAAAAATTGCTGGCTGGTTATTTAGTTCTGGCAAACGCATAATATACACCACATTTATATAAAGTATATAAATCATTATATAAAATATCCACAACATAAACATTATATTACAATTTACATTGGCATACCCTTATGAAAAGTAGCCATAGTTTTATTATAGTAAAAGTGTAGTAACCATGGTTTTTGGCATATTAATCACCATTTGCATTACCACAGATTTACTACAAATACTATGGTTAAACTATGGTTTGCGTAGCAAAACCATAATTAATTTGTGGTTGCCTTGGTTTAACTATAGTAACCATGGTTTTTTGGTTTTATTTGTAGTATAAAACCGTGGTACATTTTCATAAGGGTATAAAAGGAAGCAGATTAACAGCTGAACTTTAGGCTATTAAATACTCAAATATGCTTTCCTTGTCAACACGATTTTTATATTTGATAAGGGGTGGACAAAAGGAAAGGTGGGGGCATATAAGCTTGGCTCTTGTTTATTAATTATGTGATGTGATAAGTGCCCTGATTTGATGAAAAACAGGTAAGTAGGTGCTAGTCATGTTAGCATAACCGCTAACATCTTTGTTGATAAACTCAGTTGGCAAAGGCTGTGACTGTGACTCCATTTGGTTCATTGTCTGTGCAAATATAGCTGATTAATCTCTTACAGCAATGTGTTTGAGTGTGCTAACCAGCTAGCAAAATGATTCAGTTTACCAGCTCTTAACTAAAAGCAGTTCTTTTTACATGTTTCTTTTGTAACTGCTAATGCATTGTTAATATCTTATTTTTTTCTCACCTTATTTTCATCATCAATACAGTTTAATTAAAATCTTTAATTATTATCATGCATTTTTGTCTTTGTTGATGAAATTGCTGAGCACTGATCAGCACTGATTACAGCAGTTTTGCATTTTACTTTGATTAAAATTCTGCACACATATCAATATAGAAAACTGTTGCTAAGATACACGTTTTCTTACATACTCTGTCTCTGTTTTTAAATAAAGAAGCTCTAAATCACTTGAGAGACTGATGTTCCAGCAAGCAGCATTTTAAAGGGGTCATATGTTGTCATATGTTGCTAAAAAGAACATTATTTTGTGTATTTGATGTAATGAAATGTGTTTATGCGGTTTAAGGTTAAAAAAACACATTATTTTCCACATACTGTACATTATTGTTTCTCCTCTATGCCCCGCCTTTTTGAAACACGTCGATTTTTACAAATCTCATCAGTCTGAAAAGCGAGGTGTCAGTCTGAAGCTACAGTATCGGCCATCCTAACCCCAACATGTGAAATCTGTCCAAATTGCTTTTGGGGAACAGGCTGCCACCTGCTGTATCATTTGTAATCTTGAAGGCAAGTCTAAACTACACATCCAGATCGTTGCCCCTCAGTGACTTTGGCACGAGTAAGTGTTGTTCTGTCATTGTTAAGCCTGAGACCCATTATCATTATCTAGACGCAAACACACAGCACTACAAAAAATGCCATCCAGAGCTTTTACCACCCTTGAGGATCAGTATGAAAGTTTAAACTTGCATCAATGTTTACATTCGTGACCTGACCCATGAAGCTCGCATGTGCTGCAGATCCAAAACAGTTAATAAATTTGCATCGTGTGTACAGGCTGTTCTTTAAAGGAGCAGACATCCATGCTTTTATCGCTTCTGTACATTTGAAGTCATAAAACAGCGAGAAGACGTCGACAGCAGATTTGTACGGACCTTGTTAGTGCCACGCCATTGCGCTAAACACTCTGCGAGCCGCAGGCCTAAGGATATACAGAAATCCAGCTGAACTGATATTAATCCTCAAACGCTCCTCTAATCAGCATGCTTTGGCTGTGACTGACTCCTCCTTCTCCATATGCCCTAGACCAATAAATCATTCAGCTTCCTTTCCTATAGCTACATTCAAAGACTAGAGGTTACACAAGCACCGGTTCCCATCAGACTCTGCTGTCTTCAACCAAAACAGCATTAGATCTCCAAATGTCCACTCTAATTTCATCCTTTAAACACAATGCAGATGCAATATGATCGTCCTAAATCAGAACTTACGGTAGGCTTATGACTTGAAGCTATAAGTGCATTTGTTCCTGTCTGTGTTGTGCCCTGAGTGGGGTTTCAAAAACAAGAACATGCTGAGATACTGCAATCTCTCTCTGTTTTCTCTGTCTCTCACCCCTTCTCTGCTAGCACAGACTTTCTTTGTTTCTTTTGTGATGCACAACCCATGACCTATCCCACAGTGCTGAGCTTTACCGTCAAACTGAATGATCCACACCGTGAACACATGCTTCCATTTAATGGTGAGAAGTTGCTCTAAGCGAAAAAAGATCAAAACCTGCAGCAAGACAAGCTGGCTTGTGTACTAGTGTACAGGAAAACATTTCCTGATAATAGAGGAAATGATACTGATAGCCATCATTGTTGTTTCTTTGGTAATCAGCACCTTGTATGATGCTGAGCAAAATCTGGGATTATTTAAATTACAACACTATGAACCCTCTTGATGATGTGTTTCCTCATGAACACGGAAGCTAATGAAATTAATCTAGTTTTAATCCAATTACACCCAGTTAAACAGTCTTTCTCAATTAGCACATCTTTTCTTAAATAGACAGTTCATTCAATAATACAAATTGTGACATTATTTACAACCCTCATGTCGTTTTAAACCTGTATTCTGAAAAACATCTGTTTTTCTGTCTATCCAAAAAAGTAAAAGTAGTATTGTTTTGGACCCCACTGACTTTTTATTGTATAAAAACAGTGAAAGCATTATTCAAAAAATATTTGTGTTCCACAAACGGAAGAAAGCCATACAGATTTAGAACAACATGACAGAATTTTTATTTTTGAGTGAACTATCCATTTAATAAATTCCCCACCTGAAATTGCATGCTTCCCTAATATATAGTAGGTGATAAAACAATGTGAAAAGAGCAGTATATCCAAATTCACAGTATTTATAAAACAGTAGGTGAAAAGTATCTGTATATAACTTACGGTACTAGTTCCTGTAAGATTCTGATGGACACTTTACTATCCCTGTGACGTGATGCAACTGGCACTGGTAGATCACATGACTGATGCAGTATGTCTGGACTGCATTCGTGCTACACACATTCATACTATACAGAAATTGTTTTCAGAAATTCAAAAGAAGTACCTACTCAAGAGTATGTGACTTTGGATGCAGCCATGCACGCACATGGCAACATGCCTGCTCTGAACAGACTGAATGTTGTCATTGTGGTCCAGGTGTACGTCTCAACAGGATACTTGCATGGCAACGTGAACACTGCACACATGATCTATATCTGAATTCACAAAAACACATTTATGCCTTCCTGCTTAAAAGGCAAGTGCCCCTGCAAACAGGATTGCAAACTCAATAACCTAGGCAATAATGATCATATAAATAAGTGGAATCATGTTTAATTAATGTACTATTTCAAACCAATTTTTTTGGAGAAGTGTTGGCATCGATTTCAAAAAACGACACACACACAGTCCCAGTTCTGCCATTGATGTCTACAATATGTCAGAATACCAATTAATCATCACCACAGTAAATAAGTGTTATGGCCTTGCAACACGTGCCTGAGGGCGGGAAAGCTCATGTATGACTAATCAAAATAAAGATGATACATACTTTCATCTGACAAGCATGCTTATTTGAAGCCTGCTACACTAATGCTAGCGTATTAAACTGACCCCAAAACAGCCACACACAAAAAACTCACTGTTTTAGTTAGAAGGCTCAGTAAAGCAGAAGAGAGATCGAAAGACAGAAGAATATAAATGACCCAAACTTATGAATAATAAAACAAATAACCAGCTGTTTTAAAAACTGAAATTTCCTTTTGTGCCTTGATGGGGGGCGACAAATGGCTGATGCTCACGACATTTCAGTTTCTGTTGTTCAGTACATTTGTCTAAATAATCAGTGGAATGATGCAGTGAGGCACATTGCCATTTCTGTAATGTTGCACACAGAACTGCGTGCTTGGTGCACAGATCCTAATGGTGATTATACTGTAATAATCCAACAGACATTTGAGCAACGGAAGCTGTCATTTATATGCATTATATGCAAAGTGCCCCACCATGAAAAATGTTAACGACTCACATAAACAAGATTTCAACGAAAAATGCATTTGCACACGACAATAAGTAGTTCGCAAAACAATCACGGAAATAATACAAATTGCAGTGAGGTTTTCCATATCCTCCAAATATCCCACAGAGTGCTTTCTGTAGCAGAACCACATGACAACAAATCCATTAAGTGTATCTACACTAATCATGGGTCTAATTGCACACTTTACAGCTGTCAGTCAAAAAGTGCTGAAATACATAATGCACTTCAGACCACAATGTGGCCATCATAAATGTAATATGAAAACAATTACAACCCAAAAGTAATTTGCTTTATGGCTAAGCAGCAAAAAGCAAACCACAAAATGGAAGGAAGTGCAGGGCACAAATGAGGCCAGTAAGTCCAATTCATCATTAAAAACTAGAAATTATAAGCACTGTATATAATCTAGATCATAAAGCAATATCTACAAAGTGCCAGGCTGCATTTTGTGCATCACTTCAGCAGAGAGCTTGAGCCGCCCCTACAGCTAATGAAGCTATTTATAAAATAGTGCTCTTAATTGCAACACTGCCAAAAGGATGCATCTTTGGGAAGCCTACACCGGTGGGAGAACGAGATCAGCTCTTATTTGCTGAAGTTTCCTGTCAAAATACACACAGGAAGCTGCAAGCTGCCACGGCAACCAGCCAGCCATTCAGCATACACCTACAGATCTTAATTGATACCGAAGTCCTGTCAGGTCCAAGAAAAACAAAATAGGAACTGATCGATTTTTGTGCATGATTAATGCCGCAGTCGTCAGCGTACTCTTCAAAAACCACATACTTGACTTTTAAATAGTAGATGGAACATTATTTAAAGGATATGGGTTGCAAACCATCCTGAGACACCAGCTCCGTGGACGAGTGGTCTGTTTGATGCAGAAGAACACCACAGGCGCGAGCGCCGGGTAGGGGGGCTGCTCCTCCTCATCCGAGACCAAATCCGGAGTGGGGTCCCGAGCCCTGGACCCCTGTGCCTGAGAGCTCTCATGGACGGGGATCCATGTGCTGCTCTTTTCCTCGTCATCTCCGATTTCCTCACTGGGACTGGGCGCTCGGTACAGGGCTGAAATGGGAACTCTTACCTCTCCTCTCTCCAAGTAATGAAAGTGTTCTCTCCCCTCGCCATCAGTCATGATAAAGCGTCTGACAATGGTATCCTACAGTTAACAGAACAAATATGTCCAATGAACAATGACTGTATGGCAAGCTGATTTAACAATTATTCCTTAATACTAACTAGCATCTGTTTTATGTTCCCAGTATTTATTTTGGAATACTAGTAATGATCTAACAGTAACTATTATCTTCTTCAATTTTAGTAGTAACTATTCATTAGATATGGGTACTTATTAGAGCAGCTGCTATTAGCTATTCAGTTAAAAAATAGGACTTTTTCATTTGCTAGTAGTCACTATCTCAACAGTAGTATGTAACTATTTCTCTGTACAATGGTAACGAATGGTTGCCACTGAATTCTAGAGAGATCTATAGTTATAGATGCCAACTATTCATAACTAGTATGTATAAACGTTGTTGCTGGTAGCATTTTACTTCTAACTATTAGGTACTAGTACATATTTGTAGTCATTAGTTACTACTCTGAGTTTGTTCCAGCTTTACTAGCACACATTTATTCGATACTATTACCTGAAACACTATCATGAATGTTACTAGTAACATTTCTTGCTTGTCTTATGTAATGACTAGTCAGATGGTTATGTTACAGTTCAATTAAAAATGTTATAGCAGAACTATATATAGTGACCAATTGAACAGATAGTCACTATTGAAATAAGTACTAGTATTTAATAAATAAGTATAGCATCAAATTAATAATTATTAGTGAAATAGTGACTAGTAAAAAATCACTAGCAATTAAAAACGAATATATTTAATTAAGTACAAATAAAATATTAGTGCATACGGTTGAATGTTAAATTGGCTTGCCATAGGATGTATTAAATGAAGGATAGTTGATTGTCACGGTTTTGTACAGTGAAGAGATAAGCGCTTGTCAGATGCATCAGATCAATAGCAAGCTTCATCACAATTTCCTAGTTTTACATATATAAAAAATACAAAGGGATCATGAATCGATACATATAGTCATTAAGTTGCTTAAAAACGTTTTGCAAATTATATCTCAACAAATCTGCTCACAGCTGCCGTGAAAAATAATGCTCTTAAGAATATTTATTTCTGCCTACAGTATTTCTATTTTTCTACACAAAAACATACCCATACCCTGACGGAAATTGATTTTAAGCACAACTTATAAAACAAAACAAATAAGTTACCTTATAGATAAGGAATTGGAGGTTCCCATAAGCATCTCCTTTACTTTCAGTGTTCCGCAGAAAAATCCGTTCTGGTAAGAGACTGAGACTCGTTGCGATCCATTTGTCTCTTTCAAATGCAGTTTCTGCCTCTTAACGATGAGTAAGTCCTTCGATTTTCTTTAAAATGAACAAATCTTGAGAGATTTATCCCAAAACATGTCAAAGTATCTCAGATGTGAAGCAAGAACAGCCATTATCCAAAGAAAAAACTGCGAAAGGGTTTGGCGCATCTATGTTGGTCGGGATTCTCCCTTGATGTGACACGCCAAACTTCTAGTGAGCAGAGCGCGCGAGCAGCACGTGACGCTTCCTTTGGCTTTACCCGCATTACTTCACACCTGATACTCTTTTATCTTTCTTATTAAGACTGGATATCTTTAGACATGCTGAAAACATGCTTAGATGGAAATTAAATCGTGTAATCCTAAATTACATTGATGATAATTATAGGCTATCCACTGAATAGCCACACGGGAAAATCTGACTACAGTTAGCCTATTGAAAATAATAAAAGTGTATGCATAAAGAAATTAATTCGGATAAATCCGTTCAACATGTTCAGAGATACTCACCTTTGTTTGGGTGCAAGCCTCTGCTTCTCATCAAATGCGTGTTTTTCTCTTGCCAGTCACTCAATATGTGTCAACACTGTCAAATACCAAAACTCAGTGTAAAATATTTATCAAAAATCTAGCATTTACGCCAATTAATTAATGATGTGAGACTACAGAATGGACTCCACCTATTGAATTGTCACCGCAGTCAGACAATTTTATGTTGGCGACAAAATAACTAGGCTATATTTTTCCCATCACGCATGTATTAAATGCACATTACCATTTTTTAAATTATTTTTTTTTACTAATATAGAATCTATTTAAAGAGAAGTAAAATACTTTAAAATATGTGTTGGAGCTGACATTTCAGTTGTGACAGAAAATAATATATATATATAGATTTTATATCGAATTACGGGGGGGTCTGACCCCCCTAAAGAAGGCTTTATCCTTCAGGGTAATTCGCACCCTGATATTAATAATAATATAATAAAATCATCAGAAGCTGGTTGACCTTGTTGAACTCAAAGCAGATGAAAAGAAACTTCAGGATAAAGAATGACTTTTATATTACCTGATTTTTAAAAATGCTTTTAAATATCTGCTGGTGTTAACCAAAAAAACAAAAAACAAGAGACAGCTGTGAAATCAGCTGAGAAAATTCAATTAAATAACATTGCTTGTTAAAAAAGACATGATACTATCAGAAACGCTGCTATTATTGCATAGTTGTATCTTTAGGTGTACAATATCTGGTCACTGGGGCAGTGCACTCAAAGGCATACCTTTGTACTTTATTTAGAGGTAAAGGTGTCCCTTTGAGGGTACTGCCCCAGTGACAAGATGTTGTACCCCTAAAGGTACAATTTTTACACTTTTTTTCTGAAAGTTTAAGTTGGGCACATGTTTTGTCCAGTGTCCCAAGAATCAGTTAATTATCCATTAAAAAAAAAAAGCATTAAAAATGATAATACTTTACTATTGACTGAATGAGGATTTTGTTGTTTTTAACATTTCATAAGAGTTGGCTATAGGCTGGTCAAAAATGGCAGTAAAAATGTATTCAAAGTGCTCTTACATTGAATAAATATCTGATATGTTCATATGTTTCTGCACAGTATCTTTAATAATCCCTGCATGCTTTCCTTCTGAATAATAAGCCATTGTTTCAGTATAAATCAATATTGGCTCCAAAAGGGTTAGACGTTCTGCAACCCCAATACGTCTTCAAAAAAAATCTCTGAGAAAAGCGTTGTACAGTATCACTGTTTCCATAGTATCTAGACTCTCAGCAAATTAACTGTCATTTTGAAAAAAATCACCTCCAATAGATCAATTATTTCACACAGATAATCAATACACTGCTCCGAGGAGAATGACCTCTTAAGCTCGGGGTAAGCATGTGCTCCCTACTGATAACAGCACTAGTTTTATTGGATTTAGATTGCACATGTGCTGTACAACAGCAGTGAAATATATATGGACTGAATGCATTATTGAGAGGCAGTGGGCGAGTCTACATGCTTTCCTTCCACGCTCAAGTTATCTTGTAAATGAGTACAGCAAAACATAATTTGAAAAGAAAAAAAAATGCTTTTAATGAATATCACATGAGCCCAGCTACTGCAGAAATTCACAATACATTATCATCAGACATAAGAGATGAAGCCAAGGCATCATTTCATGTGCCTATCCAAAAAATTTAAATTTTTAAGCTAATACGATAAAAATGTTTGTATATGTATATGATTATATGACATTAAAAAATTACACTATATTATATATTATACGTACTAGGGTTGTAACGGTATGAGATTTTCACAGTATGATAATCGTCTCAGAAAATATCACGGTATATATTAAACAATAATCCTTATCAGTAACAATGACTCTTTAAAGAACAAGAACAAGTTATTTGAGTGAACAAATCCTTTATTACAACAAACTTGAAACCATTTTAATGAAAGTATTGAAGTCTCCCTTCTGAAAAAATTAATAAATAAATAAACTATAAAAAAAATAAAGCTGTACAGCTCATGTATATCTATATCACACTTTTTAATTAATGTTTTTAAATGAAAATTTACAACTCCTTTTATTTTTGGCAAAGTTAAAACATGGACAAACATGATATTCCTTGAAAACAATGTTTAAATAAATTATTTTATTATAAAGAATATTATTATTGTTTTTATTTTAACTTTGAAGTACATTGTACAATGCTAATATTTTTCTGTCATAATTTCCAATTAAATCGAACTTTTATTTTGACGGGTTGTAGCGGACTTTTGAGTTTCAGAGTGTATTTGACAATGGTTTTTCTCAAATAAAACTATGAAATGTTTAAGTTTTCTCTCAGAGCAGCTCTGGTGATGTTCATGTTTATGTAGACGCTGAAAACACCATTTATGTCTGCGTACTTCAGTATGTAGTAACGTTAGATAAAACGGCGCCACTCAGAGACATGCAGAAACAAGCAGATTATTCATATAGCAGTCTCTTTGCGCTTTAATATTCACAGACACATATCATAACTAGCTACTTTCGATTTATCCATCCATCAGATTGCACGTTTTACGTGACATCCTCGTTATACTGTAAATTCCATTTTCACAACTGCACCGGGATTCCCTCTGCATCACGAAAACCATACGGCCTTAATTTATAACTTTTTATAAATGCGACACACCTTTATCTGCATGGAGGGATGGTGTTGGATGCGAAGATGTTGGATGTATTGCCTGCTTTTGCAGCCACTTTGCGTCCACATTTTTTGCAAATTGGATCCGTCCTCAAGGACAACCTCGTTCGTATTTTTAAATATCCGAAGTATTCCCATACTGCAGATATTAACTTATTTTCGGGGGGGATGGAGATTAGATATGATCTCTGTCTCTTGTCATTTTCTCCGCTGCACGTGCGTGTTTTTCATTCGTTTTTTTTACCCGTAGACATGCAAATGTTTACGGTCAAACCGTGATAAACCGTCATACCGGTATATCGTTACAACCCTAATACGTACATACTATACATTCTGTGTACGTGTGTGTATATTTCTCATTTTGCATTCTCATTATTACATATCTCTTATTGTAATAAGGAAGAGTTTGTATTAACCGTAGACATGCAAATGTTTACGGTCAAACCGCGATAAACCGTCATACCGGTATATCGTTACAACCCTAATACGTACATACTATACATTCTGTGTACGTGTGTGTATATTTCTCATTTTGCATTCTCATTATTACATATCTCTTATTGTAATAAGGAAGAGTTTGTATTAAGGAACAGTTCGTTGCTAGTCTTTAATGACTTACTGAGATGTCAAACTCTACACCATCACTTGTTTAATTGAGGAAGATAAAGACCATAGATCTATTGACAAGTCTGGAAACAGGTGTGCGTCTTAAATTACACCGAAATGGATTTGATGATTGCTGGGGCCAAGGGGTTTGCACAGTTTGGTGAGCATCCAACAGTTGTGCTGTGTCAACTAAAGCTGCTCCAATATCTGTGGTGAGAGAATCTGACGCGTGCTCACAGATGGGGGGATGCGAGCAGCACTATCGACCTGTCAATCATCCCTTGGGGGGTTAATCCTGTCCCACCCCCAGTTGCTCCTCCGTTCCTTCCCTTTCATCATTGCAAGTCATTCAAAAGGATTCTAGGATTTTAAGGATTCTATTTTACTGGTTCTTGCACAGTCAGTATTTGCAAGCACTATCTCTGGTACTGTAACAGGTCTATTTTTCTTTTCAAGACCTTTCAGAGAGGAGATTCAGCTTGATTTGAACTGCATATTTCAAGTGCCGCCTTCTTTCTACCTCACATTATGCACTCATCCAGGAGGTACTCAAATATTGCTCTTATCCAAATGTTCTATCAGGTGTTCGTCACACTCGGCTCCTTCAGGCACCCAAACATGTCACATCACTGCTATCTTCTGAATAGCAGCTGTACATTCCAATCTGTAAAGCTGCTTTAACCCTCTAGTTTCATTTCTCCAGGCTTCGCATCTCATTATCCCGGTGGTTGAGGAGCCATCTGGACATGGTCATCACTTTCTGCTGTTGTGCTTACAAATAGAGGGAGGCCGACTTAAGACGGTAGATCTTTTATTAAAGCCATTGATGGGATGGAAATAAGTAATACAAAGGGCATCAATTCCTTATTATACAACAGGTACTGGTTTTCTTATCTGCTTAATCAGGATGCTGATATTAAGTATAACAGCCTGTTTTCTTCTTCCTTAAATGAGGATTGAGCTGCATGTTTTCATTTTCTTTACTGCGACGATATTCTGAACATGGCTTGTGGGTCCAGAGCCAGTTTAACACAGATAATAATACTAAGTTACAGTGTAAAGAAGAAAAAAAACTTGCAGAATCAAAAAGAGAGACTTCTTTACACAGACATCATGCAGATTGTATTTTGTTTTGATCTTCCTGAATGCTTTAATCCTCCAGTACAGAAAGAGATAACTGATCTTCCAAAGTTGCAATGCCAACATCTGTGGACAGAGTGATTACGTTCAAATTTTTGAGGATGAAATGGCAGAAACATTTCAAGCATCCGTGGGAAGAAAAACAGTGGTAATGAGAATGGCCTTCACTGATTCACTAACAAGCTGAGGCTGGAATAACAAACT